GTATGTATGTTTCTAAGCAAAATTTGTATTGGAAATACATACTTATCTTTTTAATATTTCATATGTGTGTATGTATTTATACTAGTTTAAGTTCTTCTAACTAATTGTTTAATATTTCTTCCGTTTTCTTCTCACTATTTGCTTAAAAATTTCCATCTTTTTTATTCAGTATTCTGTCTGTCGTTGTAATTGGGCATAATGGCTTTGACAGAAAAAGAAAAAATTAAAATCGAAAAATTACCCGCCCATCCACCTCCAGGGTGAGAATATGCTCTGTTGAGTGTTTCTTGAGATATTTTAAACGTTTTAGACTCATTTTTTAATTTCACTGATTACAGCGTTATCTGTCATCAAAAAAATGTTTGTAATAGTTAAAATTTATGTAACTTTTTCTGAAGAAGCGAAATCTGCAATAAAAAATGGGGGTTCCCATTAAAAATTTTAAACTTACCCTCTCTTTCACCCACAGCGGGTGGGGGTGGGGGGTCATGTTAGATGTCAAAAGATAGCTTTTTTGAAAACATTTAATACGTATATTTTCAGATTTCTGATCCGATGTGTATTTCTCGAGATATTCGACCGTTTCCACACTTTTCGGACATCCTGTATATTATTTTGACTAGTAAGATCAAGTGTGCGGCGAATGCTCAACCTTTTTAATTGTTTATTTTGAAGTCACGTATTGAAAGTTGATTTCTTCGTGTACATTAGAATGGTTGCATTCGGTACGACTATCTTTCACTGAGAACTCAGTGAGCTCTTGTATCTGCTTGGTTTACATTTTTACATGTAACAGAATATGCCAATCACGTTCAAGAGCTCACTGCACGCTCAGTGGGCGGTCGTCGTAGTAAATGCACTGCATGTTTATACATCCATCTAAATATATGTACATTTAATGTTGAACAGACCCAAAATCTGCAATTTGCATATATTGTGGCAGATTTCGAGTCTATACATTGAAATGTACGTACGTTGGATAGTACAAACCCGGAAACTGCCATTTGTATATATTATGGCAGATTACGGGTCTGTACATCGAAATGCATGTACAACCGGTCACCAAAAGTTGCAACACTTTCTTCGATGGCAAGAAGAGAGAAAATATTTTCACTTTCGATTTGTCTATTTCCCAGTAAGACATCGCATATAAAACAATTTACAGTCAACGACTATGTATTATTACTCGACATCATATGCTGGATACTGTTTATCCTATGTCAATCAGTATGCTTTTTTTTCTTCCGTTATAAATAAAAAAGGAATTTTAATCAATTGATTCTTTTATACGCTGTATGCATTATATGATATGTAAAAGCGTGCGCTACGACAACAAGGCTGCTTTCATATGCAACGTTATTTGCGTAAGCGTAACGTTATGTCAACCAATCATATCGTATCAAATTATATCAACTATAATTGTTACTCTAATTGACACAAATTGATTGGCTGACGCAAGATACGCTTAGGCAAGATATGCTGTATGTGAATTCAGTCTTAAGCTCGTGGTACATATTTATACTACGTTTACAAGACCCGATTGTCGACGAAGTTATATTATTGATATGTTAAGGCCTATACACAGTATAAGGAGTATTAGGAACAGCAATAAATATTAAGATTTCAACTTACCAGTTACATCGTAATTCACGGTTTCTAATATAAGTTGAAATCTTGATAATTATTCCTGCTCATAATATTATGCACAGAGCTTTATAGCTACATTAGAATGGATGCATTCGGTACGACGACAGCTCACTGAGCTCTTGTATCTGTTTGGTTTATATTTTTAGATGTAACGGAATATGCCGATCACGTGCAAGATTTCACTGCGGGCTCAGTGAGCTGTCGTCGTAGTAAATAAATGCATTGCATGCATACACATTGGGCGCGTTCAGCGGATTCAACAGTTGAGTGAGCGGTCCCTGTTATTGGGATATTCTTTTAGATCATCCAATCAGAATTTTAGATCTAGAAGAATACCCCAATAACAGCGAGCGCTCACTCACTTTTAGCGACCGAGCCCTGGTCTAGAACGCTTAAAGGACAGCACATTTTCCAGGACACAGACTAGAATGGCAGCTTCCGCGACGAAACATTTTCCAGTACATTGATTAGAATAGCAGCTTCTGGGATAGCACATTTTCCAGTATACTGACAAAAATGGCAGCTTCCGAGACAGTACAAAATTTTTCCAGGACATCGGCAAGAATGATTGTTTCAAGTGCATTTCGTTATTCACATATAATGCAGTACCTAAACTACTTGACTGTATATGTATACAAAATGTTTCGTAATGGAATTACGAAACATGGAATTACGAATGGAATGGTAACTCTTAATTCTGGATCTTTGTGATTAAAACCATGTTATCCAAAGTTGTCTGAAAAAGAGATTATATTAAATTAAATGTTATAACCTTGATATCTTGATATTAGTATTTTAAAATTGTCTTATGTGCCTATCTCATAGACATAGTATAGATCTCCATTACACGGCACGCTTTACGCCGAAGTTATAACATCGATGTCATGAAATTGGCCAGTCATAGCTATTCCTCTGAAGAATGGAATGGCTATGATTGGCCACTTTCATAACATCGATGTTATAACTTTGGCGTAAATCGAAACGTGTAAACGTAGTAATAGATAGACCGAGCATTGTCATATGCCAGACAAGGATATTGATCACTGGCGCGTGTGAGAAGGAACACAATTGGAATTTTCGTTTTCTCTCTAACAGAAAAAAGTGGGGAGGGGTGCATCGTGCGCGATCGTGTGTCTGCTCCATAGACACACATATAGAGAATAGACGCACGATCGCACATGATTCACCTACCACTTTCATTCGTTAGAGAGAGAACGAAAAACCCAATTGTGTGTTGCCTCCTTCTCGAACGTGACTGCCATGTCTCGCACTTATATGCTCGGTCTATTTATACTATATGTAAGGTCTATCCTTAGGCGTTGTTACTAGTTTTTGGGACGTCCTGTATACTTAATAAAATGATTTATGTCCTGAAAACATTGTACATGAATAAAAAGATGTCTCCGAAACTGCCATTCTGAAAGATGTCCTTGAAAATGTACTGTCTCGGAAGCTTCCGTTCTGGTCAGTGTCCTGGAAAATGTGCTGTTCCGGAAGCTGCCATTCTAGTCAATGTCCTGGAAAGGGTGTTGTCCCGGAATCTACCATTTCGTGAATGTCCTGAAAAATGTATTGTCTTGGAACCTGTCATTCCGTGAATATCCTGAAAAAATATGATGTTTCGAAACCTGCCATTCTGTGAATGTCCTGGAAAATATACAGTCCCTGAACCTGCCATTCCGTGAATGTCTTGGAAAAATATGTTGTCCGGGAACCTGCCATTTCGTGAATGTCCTGGAAAAATATGTTGTCCCGGATCCTGCCAATTAGTCAATTCTTCTGTATACATTTTGTTGTCCCGGAACTTGCCATTCCGAGAATGTCCTGAAAAAATATATTGTCCCAGAACCTACCAGTCTGTGAATATATCCTGGAAACATATGTTGTCCTGGAACCTGCCGATCTGTCAATGTCCTGGAAGAATTTGTGCCCTGGAATCTGCCAATATGTGAGTGCCCTGGAAACTGCCAAATTCGTTTTTTTTCGAAAACGATTAAAAATAAATTAATTTTACTTGAATGGAAGGCAGAAAACAACAAAAGAAGCTTTATAAACCTGTTTTTAACTAATTCTATTTTCGGTCCCGGAAGGCTGCCCCTGGACATACATACATATATACACAGGGTGTCCGAAAAGTGTGGAAACGGTCGAATATCTCGAGAATACACATCGGATCAGAAATCTGAAAATATACGTATTCAATGTTTTCAAAAAAGCTATCTTTTGACATCTAACATGACCCGCCATCCCCACCCGCTGTAGGTGAAAGAGAGGGTAAGTTTAAAATTTTAAATGGGAACCCCCATTTTTTATTGCAGATTTCGCTTCTTCAGAAAAAGTTACATAAATTTTACCTATTACAAACATTTTTTTGATGACAGATGGCGCTGTAATCAGCGAAATTTAAAAATGAGTGTAAAACGTTTAAAATATCTCAAGAAATACTCAAAGGATCAAAAAAATAAAAATGTACGTATTCAATGTTATCAAGAAAGCTATCCATTGACAGAAAAATTCTACCCTTCACCTACCATCCGCTGGGAGTGAAAGGGTAGGTAACTTTAAAATTTTAAATGAGAAAACCCCATGTTTTATTGCAGATTTTGTTTCTGCAGAAAAAGTCGTATTAACTCTTTAACGCCGAGATGTGCTGAATTTCGACATGGATTTCAACCCCCAACAATTAGCAGAAGAGGACGTAGACAAGTATCGGAAGGTCCATTTGTATGTAATAAGGTATCAGAAACGTGTTCCTGATAGTTAAACTTCGAAAACGTGTACTGTATACAATTTTCATTTTTCGATTTTGAGTTCACAATGGCGCCTATAAGCTCAAAATTTTTCGAAATTTTACGTACGGCGAGTAAATTTGCAATAAATATGCCCGAATTCGATTGAAACTTGTTATTTGGGGGTTTTTGGGATCGCTGATTACGAATGTGAAGTCAGAATCCAAAAATTCAACTTGACGTACCTACAATGGCAGACCAAGTTTTCAAAATTTGAAGTAGCGTCCTTTGCCTTTGAATATTTCAAAGTTTCCCGATTCTCACCGCGAGGAGGTGGACGATTTTGAGAATCTTTTTTTTTGTTTTTTATTTTTCCTTTTTTAGTTTTTTTAGAATGTTTTTAATTTTTTTGTTTTTTTTAGTTTAATTTTTTTTATTCCCTTTACTCGATTTTTTAAAAATATATACATACATATGTATGTTAACTACTGAATGAGATGTTCAAATTGATGTCCCTCAGCAACTTGACAATATTCCAATCGTGCATAGAAGTTATCATTAACTTTTTGCAACGTTTCTCGAGTTATCGTATTAGAACATTCGATTATTCTTTCTTTTAACTCATCAGATGTCTGTCGGCTTTGTTTCGTACACCTTGTTCTTCAAAAAACTCCAGTAAAAATTATCCAGAGGAGTTAGATCAGGTGACCTCGGTGGCCACTCAATCGAACCCCTCCTACCAATCCAACGCCCGGGGAAAATGTTGTTCAATAGATTGCGTGCAATTAAACCGAAATGACACGGAGCTCCATCCTGTTGAAACCAGACATTGTCAAACGCTATACCAGAAATATTTCGGATTGCAGGTATAATCTCGTTATTCAATAAATTAAAGTACCTCTCAGCTGTGAAATTATCTTCAAGGAAGAAAGGCCCAACAATTTGATTGCACAAAATTCCAGCCCAAACATTAATTTTCAGTGGATGTTGTGTGTGGATATCTCTCATCCAATGGGGATTTTCGTCTGACCAATATCGCATGTTGTGCCTATTAACTTCTCCATTCAACTGTAAAGTAGCTTCATCGGAGAAGCATATCCAAAAAGGAAATGACTCATTTTCGTCACACCGTCTCATCATTTCCTCACAAAATTCTAATCTGCGATCGAAGTCGCCTTCCGAAAGTTCTTGCACATATTTTATCTTATAAGGATGGAACTTATTTGCTTTTAATACTTCATGGACAGATGATTTACAGATACTAGTTTGTTGCGCAATCTTTCTAACTGAAGTATGGGCGTTCTCAACGACACTTGCACAGACCGCTAAACTGTTGTCTTCGTTCGTGGCCGTTTTTGGTCTCCCTGTTTTTGGTCGATCTTTGACAGAGCCGATATCATTAAACCGAGAAACAGTTTTACAAACAGTTTATTTGCAAATGGGTAGACGATCTGGATGAGTATCATTAAATAGGCGGGCGACTTGTTCGTATGATCTTTTTTTATCGCCGCATCCTCGCAGAATAAGGATTTCGATTCTTTCTTTTTCTGTCAAAGACATTATACATACATACATATGCCCAATTACAACGAGAGACAGAATACAGAATTTTTTAAAATGGAAGAAATGTTAAGCAAATAATGAAAAAAAAACAGAAAAAATGTTAAATAATTAGTTAGAAGAAATTAAACTGATAGAAATGTTAAAAAGATAATTGTCATAAGATAAACGCAGTATGATCGCATTACTCGGTTCACACGCAATGCAAATTTTGCTCGGTCTTCCGCCTTATAATGTTCGTTAAATATGTACATCGAGAAAGCCGTAATCAGGGACAGCGAGAATGTTGCATTCTGGCGGCGAGATGTTGTATCAAATAGCCGTGAAACACTTGAAAGTTCGACCACACACAAAGAGAAACTTCTAATGTTTATTCTATGGGGTCACCTTCATCGAAATGACACAAGGTTCTTTCGTACGCGAATCGTACGTTTTCGTACTTTTTCAACAGGGCCGTATACTTCGTTTCCTCGAGACTTAGAAGATTTTCCGGTGGGCAAGTCATAGCAATGAGTTCAATGAATGTTCCATACTACATAATACATATGTATTCATTAGAAATGTTTTTCTGTGCAAAGAGCCCTCCGCAGATGTGAAAATATCTTAGATGATGAAAGTCCCAATAATTTTATTGCACAAAATTCCAACCTAATTAACTTTCTGTGTTTGAACTTTCATACATATGTATGTATGTTTCCAAGCAAAATTTGTATTGGAAATACATACTTATCTTTTTAATAT